TTTTCGTATGTCTTTCTTAATCAAATGCCACAAATGACAACAATGCCTTTTTTGTTATAACCTGTTAAATCAGGGCACATTTAATCTAATTCATTAAAAACATTCATTTTGGCATGGCTCAATTAAATTCTCTGCCTTTGTAAGTAGTATTTAAAAGAATCTGAGGTACTTAACCGTACATGTGGACTGATGCACAAATCAAAGCACAACAAAGGGGCAACCATTCCTCTTTTACCAGTCCTTACAGCTTCCATGAGTGGCGTCTAATCTTGTCCATCTACTCGCTCAATATTTGCTCCATGGGCTATAAGAGGGTCCAAAATATCCACATTGTTGGAATCGATGGATCAAAAAATGACTGCTGAGTTTGTTTCGTCGGAGTGATTAGCATCTGCACCTTGGCTGAGTAGGGTTTGAACTAACTTGGCTTGACCTAATAGCACAGCTTCGAGGAGTGCTGCATTTAACTTTCCGTTCCGCTCTGTAAATGGAGAACAGGCTCTAAGAGAAGCTTTACCATGTCTACTTTGCCCTGTGAAAGCAATAAATAAAGGCACACTCGCGTATTTCCCAGTGTATGGGCATTTGCTTAGTTAGGTGTAACATGATATGCAAAGAAAAGTAAAACACTTGGCTTTAAACGCAGTAAAACAAATTAATCAGCTTTTTAAACGAGCACAAAGCAAGTTGGTCTCGTATAAATGAAATAAATTGACTCACTGATCCACATCCGAGTGTCAAGCGGATGTCGAACAATCTCAACCTTTCATAGAGGCCCGCGTTAGTATGGTGCACTGTCCGTGAGTTACGACTTCCAAGGGACTGTGGTGTTGCAGAAGAAGCTGTACGCTGTTTAAATGTCCTCCAACAGCTGTACAATGAAAGGGAGTGTTGCCTCATTGATGCCTTGTGTTCCAGAAGGTCATTCATCACCTCATAGCAACCGAATTCGGCGGCTACTATGAGCAGAGTTGTTTTTCGATATATTTCGTACATATTTGGGTTTGTCTAAATAAAAGTACTACTAGTAAAGCAATAACTATAGCATTCTCCTAAAGTTAATTTTGTGCTTTATGGACACTAAAGGCTCCATAATCTGGCTTTAAAGCTTGAGGGGTGATATTTAAAGCAACGATCAAGTAATCAAAAGAGAATGAGTGAATATTGTTACGTACAGCCTTCTGAAGCAGCTGTCGAACAGAGTGCACGACATTTGCACCAGCGGCTCTCAATAGTGCCATCCCACTCTCATCCGGACGAAGTGCTAGTAAGTAGTCTACATTTTGTAGACTCGTCTTTCAAATGGAGTGTTAAGTGCATGATTAGCAAGATTCAGCAAAACCATTCGTTGAAAAGTTGTTTGTGCAAAGAGGATAAACTCGAGTCCTGCTTATTCAATGGCAATCGTCAAGATATCTAATAGAAATAATGCTTGTTTCCGATAAGTAGAGAGCAAAATAGGTGTCCTAGG